CCCGTGGACGGTGAGTATACACTGTGTGCGGCGCACACAGCTAAAGATTATTTGAAAAGTTCTTGATGTTTTTAAGAGATATGAGTGCAATATTTGGGCACATAAAAGTCAATTTTAAAAGGATAAGGCACTATATCCCCATTTTTTTCCTTACACCATGATACTGAGGAACATCTAGGACAGGATTGCGGAGGAGGAGGAGAAAAACAGCAGCAGAAGGAGGGAGAGATCCCGGCAGGGATACTGGCACATGAGGAGAGGATTACTAAGAAGCATATAAGGCATACCCACCATCCATCACACGGTGCAACAAATTATCACACCAGGTTCCATTTGTGAACAAAAAGCGGAGTATGCCTATATATTAGGCTTATAAGGAGGTGAGCGCATTGCCTAGTCACATTAAGGATTCACTGGAAGTCACAAACATCACCTTGGATCACATTATGGCGGTCATCATACTCCCTAGTTCATCCACATTGATCATTCTTGTGTTGGACTTCATTTTCTTTTGTTTGATATAAGTATTGCAACATGTCCTATGTACATTTCATTTGCACATTTTCTTGTGTCAATCTGTATTTTCAATAAACTTTTTTTGGAAAAAAAAAATTCACTTAATTTTTTGAGTAATATTTATTAGTTGCAGTTAGGTGGCACACATTATTGTTTTTATGAATTTTTTATTGTTTGAATGATTCACATTAATCGTGTTTTAATTGGTAGTAATTAAATTAGAGTGTATGTTGGTACACAGCATTGTATAACTAACACTAAATTGGGAGCGCGACATTTATTGTTTTTTTCTTTTTTTGAAATACACATTGAATGAGGATGTGATTAATGTCAGCGAACCATATCACATATTTTATATATATAATAAGTGGCTCACACGTATTAATAAATGCACTGGTAGGCAGTGATATGTGGCATTGATGGGCACTTGCAAGTAGCACTGATGAGCACTGACAGCTGGCATTGATGGACACTGACAGGTGGCACTGCTGGGGCTTCACAGATCATCAGGGCACACTGATCATCAGTGCACATGTCCCCTCCAAAGAATGCTGATTACTGGCTCTCCTCTCCCCTCGAGATGTCATTGTGACAGCTTGTGAGGAGAGAAATGCTGATAACCGGCATTTCCCTGTTTACATGCGATCAGCTGTGATTGTGACATAGCTGATCACATGATCTTCGGCTCTTTCCGTTGATCGGTGATCCGCTGTGTCTGAGGGACACTGTGCACCGCCGATCGCCGTGCAAGCGCGGTTAGAATGGGTGGATGTCATATGACGTCCTCCCATAACGAGAGAACTGCCTTGCACCCATCATTGCCCTATATGGCGGGTGGGAGGCAGTTAAGGTGCATAGATCATGCTGGCAAATTGATCTGTTGCTTGGGCATGTTATACATATTTCTGTGTTTTCTGTGCTGGGTCTCTGGATCCTGGTTAAGGTAATGAGATACATTTGTGGAAATATGACAGGCCTTGTATCTGGCACACCTCTAAAGGGAGGAGTCATGATCGTGGCATAATTGGCATTCTGTTTGACTTAAAATATCTTGTCCTTTGGCTAGGTTTAGACATGTTGCAGCTTGTTAGGAATTTAGGGTCAAAAGTCTTTTATTTTTTTTTTTTTCTGATTTATTTTTAGCATCAATGCTACTATGGCCGGGACATCTACATTTTGATTGTGTGTTTATTAACCCTTTGGCCTGTGTGATAAAATGCTTTATAGCATTATCATTTAAAGTGAACCTTTGTTTTGCCTTTGCTTGGAAAAGCAGAATGTTCATTTTTCTGGTGGTTCCAACAGCACACTCGCCTTCCTTTCACTCCCCCTCTGACTTTTCGGTCACTGGGAGCACAGAAGAATACAGTACCATTATGGTGTAGCATGTGACTCCCCTCCCTCTGTCCATCACATGGGAGTGGGTAGAGAGTCTTCATTCCTATGTAAGCCCCAATTGCAACTTAGAGCTTGCACAGGGTTTCCCTTTGCTTTCAAAAGGTAAATATGGGAGACCCGTCTTAAAGTCAGTTGTTTTACCCTGCATGGGGAAATGCACAGGTACACTCTTAAGATTTGATCACTGTCATCAAGTATGTCTGTGTAATGAAGCTTGCATGGTCCTAGCTAACTCTTATCACACAGAGAACAGCAATCAGACCCAGTTTGTGACTAGTTATGAAGTATGGCTGGTCTCACATATTTACCTTTCCAAAGCAAAGGGAAACCCTGTGCAAGCTCTAAGTTGCAACTGGAAGCTTACATAGGAATGAGATGACGGGAGGACGTGTTCTGGGAGGACGTCATATGGCTGTAGCACGGTCACCAAGTGGTTAAACAGTAATGCTCTGACGGAGAGGGAGAAGCAGCACAAGGAGCCAAAGCAGAATGGCGGATAGATAGGCATATCATTCTGCTGTTTCTCAGGGACCTGTAAGTGTTTCTTAACCACAGTAGAGAGAAATCAGGTCTCCTGACCTACCAGGCTGTGTAAATCGTAGAACTGGATAGGCAGAAATAGTTTTTTTTTTTTTTTTTTGCTGATAAAACTACTCTCATACTATATGTATTTCATCTGTGTATTTAACAGTTTTGTGACGTTCATCATTACAGGATAAGTTCACCTTTCCTAACATGTTATGTGTTACACCCATATTCCGGGTGTAACATGTTTCTGTAGGTGTGGCCCCCGATCCCCCGTAGTGATAGCTAGCGGGGGTCTTCTCCACCTGCCCGGCCGTATCATTCATTCACAGAGTTCTGTGAATGGGGAAACTACCAACAGCCTTTGCAGTGTTGGGCACTCTTGTAGTTCATTGATTCTTCCTGTCAGTGTGAAACTGCCTTCCTGTACAATGTATGTGCAAACACATTACACTGACAGTCTGCAGGAGTCCTGCATGGCACCTGTGATCTGTAGTTCAGTGGTGCAATGTTTTCCAGGCTCCTGTAAAGATGTGCAATTGTCCTTTATCTGAACTTATCCTTTAAAACTAACCTGTCATGACAATTCATTAACTAGGATAGGAGAACTAGGAAGTAGTGTACATACACTTGGCAGTATTACCTACTGTTTGAGTACAACTTTAATAAAAGAAATATGGAGCTGCCATTGCTAGCCTCCTCCTGAAAATTGGTTCTGGTTGTGTCTGATTTTGGTAGTCACGGACCTGGAACCACTATGCAGCAAATTAAATGTCAGAGGAAAGATGACATTTCTTATCTGTATACTAGTTCCGGGTGGGTGACTGAAAGCTGTGTGGTAAAGCATGACATCTCACAGTTATGGGATTGAATATGGCTTGTCAGTCAGTTGTCATCTCATGTCTGTGGGTTTTCTAATTGATTAAATTGCTGCTAATGATCTGCTTTCTTGTCCATCAGCCCCTCACCAGTCAGCTGATGAGACAGCATAGGGATTTTCTTTCTCTTTTTTTTTTGTTGTTGTAGGAAGTTAACCTAGACATACGTCTGGATATTATACTAAAAGTATGCAACTTTTTTTTTTTTTGTTACTGCATCAGTCTTTTTATTAATTAATACATAGCTATACTAATGTTCTTCTATAACTGTAAAGATATATAAATATTTTACTAGGCCTGAAGGTGGATACATCACTATTGTTTTAACTGTTTTATAATACTTTGATCTTACACAATACCTTGATCGCTTCTGTCAGTATTTGTTTTCTCTGCAGTGATGCAGCTCTTTCAGCTGTTCCCCCTTCCTCTTCATAGTTTCCACAATGATCTCATACTAGTAAATAAAGCTTAGATTTATTTGGTTGTTACATTTAGTGTAGGGAATGTGTGCTAATGCCAGACGATGACGGGGGTATCACAAAGCCTATTTGAAGACCTGCTCTGAGCACTGTCTCTGATTGCCATTTGAAGAGCAGTTGGGTGAGTTTTCTTGCGCTTTCATGATTTTAAGCTTAAACTGGCCATACACTGGTTGAGTACAGCCACTGTTTGGCTGAAAATTCAACAAAAGTCCATCAATTTTTGTCAAACAGATTGGGGCCAGGAGTGCCATCCATTCACTTAGTGTTTGGCCATCTTTGGCGTTTGTGGAGGGAGATTTATTACATAGTAAAGCAGTGTGGAAAAGGAGCAGACAAACTAAAGCTGGCCATAGGCAGCCTAAATTTCGATTCATCGATGGGCAGCCTGGTTGTACTGAAGTTCTATCAAATTTTGTCAGGTTTTTTTTTTTTTTTTTTCCCTTACAATTACTGCTGCCAGATTTAGCAGTAATCATTGTATTCTGATAGCAAGAGAACCTCCTTCCATCAGAATACAATGGCATAAAAGAAGGGATTCATATAAGGGAACCTGTCTTTGAAGGAAAGAAAATTGCTTATGCCTGCCTAAGACAGATTTACTATGAGAAAAAAAATTGATAGATGCATTTCTGCTCACAATTCATACTGCCCCAATATGAATCGTGTCTTTGAGGACTTATTTGTGCATAAGTTTTAATCTTAAAAGTGTCAGATCTGTTTTAGTACTTTGGAAAAAATGTCACCAATGTCTGCCCAGGACTGCAGAAGCAGAGGTTGCAAATACACACTAAACCTTCCTCAAATTATTTTGTAAATGAAATAAATGCAGACTGATGTGCTCATGATTCTATTGGTAGTTGGTTTGATAAATCTACTTCCTTGTATTTTAAATATTTTTCTGAAGATGGCTTCTGTTTTAGTACCATCTGCTAAACTCAAGTGCTAATATCTGTTTTCAGCTGGGTAACATAGAAAGCTCTTTCTATTTGGTTTTCTAAGTAAAAAGCTGGATTTTACAAAACATCATGGTCAGTCTGTGATATAATCTAAATCCAGTCTGTAATACCTTTTAGCCTTGGCCTAAATTACAGTGAAACAGGGCAACACAGCACATAATAGGCTTAAGCCCTAGTTATACTGTGATGATATGTTTGCTTACTCCTTTTATATTTATTTCAGTTAGATCAACACCACCGCCAACATGTCAAGCAAAAGAGCAAAGACCAAAACCACCAAGAAGCGCCCCCAGCGCGCAACATCCAATGTATTTGCTATGTTTGATCAGTCCCAAATCCAGGAGTTTAAGGAGGCCTTCAACATGATTGATCAGAACCGGGATGGTTTTATTGACAAGGAGGATCTGCATGATATGCTTGCATCCCTTGGTAAGTTATGTGGTAGTTCTGTAAAAATGAATGGTGAAGTGTATGCTTAACCAAACCCCTATACATAGAGTGTGGAAAACACTTCTGAACGATGGAAACTGACTGCTGGAAAACATAGGTTAAAAAAACGTCTGTTTGCATACCACGTTTATGCGTGTTTGCATTTAGAAGAGTCTTTTTAAAGATTACATCAGGAGATCTTCCAAACTGCCCAGAATGCACTGAAAACAGTAAAAAATTTACTATTTCAGACATTTTGAGAGAAATAGAGAGTAGTATGTGTTGAGATGTATGTTTTCTGGTTGTATTCACTAAGGATCCCATCATGAGCATAATGCACCACGTGCTACCTATTCTTTCCTTCACGCAAAACCTGCAACTGACTGCACTAGTGTACTAGGTCCATTTGAATACATGGAAAATGCTTTGAATGCATTTCTGATGATGAAAAAAGGGTCTGGACAGTATTTGGATATGGAACAGTTAAAAACGCTTCGAAACGCAAACGCTTATAAATGCGGTTAGCTGCGTTTACAAGCGTTTGGTGTTTGAAATGCTGATAAAATCTACTCCTGAACGCAAGTTTGGTGCGTTCAAAAAAACAACTGTAAACTCAACTGCCTGTAAACGGCTGTAAATGACATAGTGTATATAGACACATAGTAAAACATTAGAGAGAGTTCAGGGGCTGCTGAAAAAAAAACGCAGAAAAGCTCCTGAATGTGAGTTTATCAGCTGCAGTGTACATGAGCCCTAAGACAGTTGTCAGCAGAACAGGTGCCCACATTTCTCTTCTGGGAACAGTTATGCTCAGGACAAATAGAGATGGTAAATCTTTCCAGTGCTGACGGAGACAGCAGTAATAACCTGGCAGTGTTACTGGCCCTTCTGTGTGCTACTAAAAAAAAGTTTTGACTATACACTTTAAATGCTTTAAATTGTTTAGCATGGTTGGCATGATTTAAATTGATTAGCATGGTAGGAAAACTTTCCTAAAAGATATATGGGAGCTCCAGTTTCTCACTTTCTTCTAAAAATATTAGTTGCTTGGCTGTTTAGAGATTTGGATGGAAAGTCAAAAGTCCCTATGACTTAAAGCAGTTAGGTCAGTGTGGCTGCAAGTTAAGTAAAGAAAAAGCAGTAGTATTCACCTCCATATTCTCATAGCAAAGGATTGGCTCTTTACTGCATTAGATATATCCTGTTGCCTTGAGATTGCATGTTATCTGTAGATGATATAGCTGCTAACTGGACAATGATGTTTTCTGTAGTTTATTAATGAATTAGAAGGTTTACTTCTTTTATGATGCAGTGCTTAGTGGGTACTGTTGCCAGACAACGTGGGTGTATTCCTGTAATTGCACATCTGAGTGGTTATAAGTGGCAGTGGGATAGGGTGGTCCTAGACCCACCATTGCTGGATGACTGCATGGTGAGAGGTTGGTGTGCCATATTATGGTGTGAGGTCACCCTTGGAAGCGAAAGTTTTCCTCTACTGTAAAGTGTAGTTAAAGCCAAAAGACATGCAAATACTGTCTGGGAGTGTTAAAACCTTTATTACGTTTTTATTGCTGCTTATCTTTTTTTTTTTTTTTTTTTTTTTTTTTTATTTGATCACTTTCACTTGAAAGAAAGAGAATTACAAATACTTTAGTTGCTACAGGAGCAAGAATAAGGGGGAAGCTTTCATCTGTAGTACAGAAAGTTTTGAATATACTTTTATCCTTTCTGGGAATTGGTGTAGATTTTATTTATTTATTACAGGTACTTATATAGCGCCGTCAATTTACACAACGCTTTACATGTATATTGTACATTCACATCAGTCCCTAATCCTCAAGGGGCGTACAATCTAAGGTCCCTAACTCACATTCATACATACACATACTAGGGACAATTTAGACAGGAGCCAATTAACCTATCAGCATGTCTTTGGAGCGTAGGAGGAAACCGGAGTACCCGGAGGAAACCCACGTAGCCACAGGGAGAGCATGCAAACTCCAGGCAGGTGGGTGCCGTGGTTGGGATTTGAACCGACGACCCTAATACTGCCAGGCAGAAGTGCTAACCATTTAGCTGATGAGCTTTGAATGTAAACAGAGCTGAAATCTGATTCTCAAATGCAAAACGTGCATTTTAAGTACTTTTGGCCACTGGTCAGGGAAGCTGTCTAGCATTGCTAAAGATGCACACACGCACACACATGCACGCACACCCCTTCCTGTATGTTGCAGAACTTTAAATCAGTTGAAAGGTCAGATAGGATATGCTTCATCCAAGAAAACTCTGCACAACACCAATTGTCAGCTCATCCACACTACTCTGCTTAAATAAAATGAGGTCTGAAGATTTTGCTTACAGCGTGTTGGAAAAACATAGTACAACAACACATTGCTCATCTCCAAAAGCACTAGATCAAATTATTTCTGTGGTTTCTACTGCTTGCTGCTATCATGTAGCTTTTAGTGTGCCCATTGGTAATGTTTATTAGGGCTGTTGGCATAAATAAAAGATGTCCGTTGTAAATTTTTGTGTTCTTTAACCACTTCTCTAACAGCATTGTTTTATTAACAACCATTCGCTGAACTCCCCTTCGGTGATTTGATACAGGAGTGACGTGTATTATATCACTTGTTCGGCTGTCATTCCTCAGGCACTTTGTCTAGGAGAGAAGCTAATGGTGTGCGGTCTGTGCTCCATTAGCTGCAAGGGACATCTAATAGACCCAATATCTCAGTATAGAGAACCTGTCGTTACAATATGCCATTACATAGGGGCTGTGTAATAGAAATTAAGGTAATTGTGAAAAAAGATAAAAAAAAGTTATTTAAAAGATAAAAAAAACATGAACATAATTCTAGGGCAATAGTTCAAGGTTACCTGATAACCAAAACCTTTTAAATTGTCACCTATGGACAATTTTGGGGACCAGTGTTTGTCACTGCTTCGCAGGTGTCTGCAGTTCTAAAGTGGAACTTCACTCTCTCAATCAACATTCTGTTTTAATCTTAATGATGCTAGCATTACTAAATAGGTGGAAAAGTATATCAAATGTAATTGTTTTAAACAGTTTTGATGTCATATCTCCCAGTAGTCTTCAGCATGGGAGGAGGGGTTTTCTCAGCTAATCATATCCTCCTGCCTGCATGTCTGAGCTAAGGGCGGATGGATTACAGGAAGTAAATGCTGCATGAATCATCGCCCTTACTCAAGATGGCTATGGCCAGAAATGCTAGAGGGAGTTTTTCAAAGTGATTTCTCAGCAAAATAAAACATGGAGACATGGATGTAAGGGGGAGTTTGCTTTGAATGTTAAAAATTAATTGCATAGCATTTTTGGTTTGTGGTGCTCAGATCCAGTGTAGTTCTGCTTTTAGGATTGACATTGTGGGTATGTATTCCTTCGTTGCAACCTCTTCTTTCATATTTTTCTGCATTTTGCATAATATATTATGTTTGTGTACAAATCAACTTTGTAATTGATAAAAGTGTGCATATCTAATGATATGTTACAAAAAGTTGCAACTACCACCATTTTATTCTCCCGGGGTTTTTGCTTTTAGAAAATATATCATGTTTGGTGGTTTAAGTAAATTTCATGCCTAAAAAAAATGCATTTTAGCGCATGTGCCAATATGGAAAAATTTACTCTAGTAACGTCGTGGTTAAATTTCTATCATGTTACATTTTTCCTTTCTCTAATTAAGGTAAGAACCCAACAGATGAATACTTGGAAGCCATGATGAATGAAGCTCCTGGACCCATTAATTTTACCATGTTCCTTACAATGTTTGGAGAGAAGTTGAATGGCACAGACCCTGAAGATGTAATTAGGAATGCTTTTGCTTGCTTTGATGAAGAGGGAGTTGGTGAGTTTTACTTTACAGTTCTGTAATTTGAGTTTGCATCACAAAACTGAAAACGTTACACATAATTACTTGTTTGGTCATTATATAGTGAACTTTACATTTATCCTATGCAGAGTAACAATCATAAATTTGCTAGTGGACCACCACTGTGGCCATATAGATGGTTTTATGTAGGGGCAACACATTTTTGATTTTGCATAACTTAATTTGTACAAGACACCAGCTAGATATTCTTGGACCCTGGTTTAAAGGCTGCTACCTTCAGGCGATTTGACAGCTTTTGATGGGCGAGCCCCTCTAGGCATACTTCTGTAACCCCAATCCAAAAGCTCTCCGTTTTTTTGTCAGTGTCCTTAGGTGATGGCCTTCTTCCTTATGGAGAAGTTTTCTATGCTTTTGACTTTTTGTTGTTTTTTTTTTTTTTTTCAAATTTGCCCTTTTATTTAATTTTGGATTCTTCAATCAACTCTTCACTGCCTTCTATTATAATAATAGAAGCAGTACATCCAGATTGGTGTAACCTCTCGAAATACCTTGGCAACCCTACCCAGACCCCGCACAGTTGGCAGGGCATGTAATGTTGCTTTGGGTACTGAATCCTGCTTGGGTGCCCACCTTGGCAATGAGTGCAGTAAGTGTAGTTAACAGCAGGGTGCTATGCAGGTCCAGTGGCGTGGTCCATTTCTATGATTCTCAGACCCTGGAGACCCCTCCAAGGGTATGCTTAACATGATTGGTGAAGCCTGGACTTATATAGGGACCAGCAAAACTTAAAGGTAAGATAGGCATGTCTTGTTATACGAATACTGTAGCTTTACAGAAAATATGAAAATCAATATCTTTTACTTGCAATACATTTATTAACATGTCCCTTGACTAGTATTGTTTATTCACTTATTAGGTGTTCAAACTTTGGAAAACTTCCACCATTCAGTGCTTGGTCTCATGTAGATGACTAGGTGTTAAGTCACACCACAGGTCCCACTAAAGCCCATAAAAGGTTCTTGAGCATTTCCTCCTGCCCTTTTGCCATGAACACTTGGCTACAGGATAATTTTTAGCAGCTGTTTGGCATTAAAGCGTATCTAAACCCAAAAACAAACATTTAATATATTGACGTTTACCAGTTCTATGTGTATTGTTTTTATTTATATTTTTTACCTTTTTATTTTCGCATCATAATCCAGTAAATAACACCTTTCTGTCCCTAGGTAGTTATGCTCACTCCTCCACTGTATTTTGGAGACAGCCATGGTTGCCATACAGGCTGGACTACAAATTAACTGTGCATAAAGTACAGCGCTTAATAAATCTGAAATACATAAATAGTGGTAATATAAAATGTCCAAAATGGAGAACGAATCAGAAGAACATAGTCCCCAAAGGCTGTGATGAAACAGGGAAATTTCCAAGGATAGCTGATGTGTCACCAACCACTCGCATGCAAGGCTTACCAGAAAGGCATGACCCCCTGTAAAGAGCGGTCAGACTCGCTTGTGTGATAACAACCAGGAAGGCTAGCAGGTGCAATCCTCCTCTGAATCCCCCAAGAGAGATATCTAGAAGGTCTTTCTACAGCAATCCCCTATTGGGGTAACTTTATCCACTCCAGAAAGGTGTAGGGCCAAGACTCGTGACATTAAACATGCAAAAGGAATAAATTGCTCCACATAGTATAAGATCCTTTATTCATATAAAATTGCACTCATGTGGTAGTAGACATGAACAAGTGTGTACAAACAAAAACATCAATTCTTTCCAGCATCCAAAATGGCCACCAGCTGGTATCATGTGTAAATGGCTCCACCCTACACGTTTTTTCACAAAGGACATCATCAGGGGCACGTAAACACGCTCCTTATATAGGACCCAAAGCCCCAGAGGATCACCCCCATTTGTTACAAATTGCAAGGGAAGGTGACGACACGCCTTCTAACTAATCCAGCAATCGATCAGTCAGATGTTGAAACATGATATAACACCATCTAGTGTTGAAAAGATAAATGTCACGTAAATTAATTAAAATAAAAATAGTATGTCACCATATAGGTGACGACCTATAGCAGATTTGCCCCATGAGGGGATGAAATGGACATGGAACTAAGGGTTATCAGAAAGCACCCATTATCTCCTCCAGGTGATTTTAGACATCAGAGGAATCTAGATGGAGGTGTTGGGAATCACAATCAGGGTTTTCATTTAGCTACAAAGACGGGACACAAAAGGGGCATAGACACAAAAGAGGGGGGAGGTGTTTACAGTCCAAAAGAAGGAGAATGTAGATAGTGATATCATCAATCTTAGTGGTACAATTTTGACCAAGGAGGAGGAGTTTACTCTGGATAGGGGTTTGAAATTGCTCCTCCCTACAATTTAAATAAATTTCAGACATTTATTGATATCCAGAAATATACACGGAAGCTTAATATTAAGATATACCTCCCCACCAATCCTGTAAAGAATCAGCCAAGTACCTCTTCGCAGTTTGTTCATTCAAACTTATCTAATGCTTCTCTATTAAACTCTCCTGGTAATGTACCTTCCAGTATTTCAGTCTTTCTTGATTTAGTCTTAAAAGATCTTATGTCAGTTAGGTTTAAAAATGTTGAGCCCCATAAGGATATCTGTATAGGAATGGAAAAACTTTGTACTAGAAAAGACATTGTTATTCGCCCCGTGGACAAGGGTGGCGCTATTGTCATTCTCGAAAAGATAGCATATGATAATGAAATGGCTAGGTTATTATCAGATGAGGATACTTATGCTATGTTAAGGAGTAACCCTGTATTGCAGTACCAAAAGGAACTTAAAGTATTAGTGGAGAAAGGATATAAAGACGTATCCTATATAAAAAAGAGAAGGAATATCTCATACCTTCTGCTCCTAGGCTACCTGTCATGTATTGCTTTCCAAAGATAATAAAAGTATGGAAAACGCTCTGGGTAGGCCCATCAGTAGCATAGATTCATTTACAGCTCGAGCAGGCAAATATATAGATCATTTTTTGAAGCCATTGGTGGTGAATGCACTATCATATTTACTGTAAGGGGGATACCAAGCATGTCATTAATGTATTAGGGATTAATTGGAAGTCAGGTTATTTGTTAGCTACTGCTGATGTATCATCTCTTTATACATCCATATCCCATCAGTTAGGTTTAGAGGCAGTGGACTTCTTTTTGAGCAGGGATAGTTCCATCCCAGAGCTTCAAAAAAATTTTTTTATGGATTTACTCCAATTTTGCATGACCCATAACTATTTTTGGCATAAGGGTTTGTATTCTCTGCAGAAACGGGGAGTGGCCATGGGGGCTAAGTTTGCATCCGGTATGGTTAACCTCTTCATGGCAAAGTGGGAAGAGGACATGGTTTTGGGCAACCAAAGGCCAGAATTAATATTTTGGAGGCGTTTTATTGATGATATCCTTCTAATTTGGGATGGGGACATCAACTCATTAGATTCCTTTTTGAATTTTCTGAATGATAACCAAAGAGGTATAATATTGAGTCATGAAGTTAGTTCCAGTTCGGCACATTTCCTTGGTTTAAGGTTATCCATAGTCAATGGGGTACGTACAACTTCTACTTTTTTCAAGAAAACAGATAGGAATGGATATATTCCTCTTGAATCCTGCCATCATCCTTCATGGTTGTCAGCAATACCTAAGGGACAATTCTTGCGTCTCAGACGTAATTGTACCTTTTAGAGAGGACTATGTAAAAGAAGATTTGATACTTTAGTCAAGGTTTCTTGAAAAGGTATATAATGCAGAAAATTTGGATAAATTGATGTGGGAGCTGGATTGTTATGATCATGATAATCTCATCAAGGAGAAAGCGAGCCAGTTTGTGCCAGATCCACCCACTAGGCCAATATTTTTTGTAAATATGGAGGGTTACCACCCCTGTAGGAAGTGCAAAGCTTGCCAAAGTAATAGTCATCTTCCTTCCTCTAAAGCTAATTTTGTTGCCACACAAACTAGTATTAAGTATGAAATACGATGGTTTATATCCTGTGCAACCAGATATGTGGTCTAATTGTTAAGGTGCCAATGTGGCTTAGAGTATGTGTGGCATACAACATGTGCCTTGCATGTTCGTTTAGGTGAACACATTGCCAATATAAAGAAGGGCTACAAGGAACCTAGTGTCTCTAAACACTATGCTTTAAAAAAATAACAAACAACCCGGAAGGTACCACCTTTATTGCTTTGGAGAAGTATGTTCCGGATTGGCGAGGTAGCAATGCAGAAGAGGACGATTTCTAAGGCTGAAACACTATCCATATACTCATTTTATGTACGCATATTTTAATTTTATCAATTTTATGTGGATGCCTTTTGCGTTCATAATGGTAAACATACTGGTTACTACATTCAATTCAGCTGGGTTACTGGTGGCTTTGGTCCTATATAAGGAGTGTGGTGGGGCGTGTGTCCCCTGATGACGTCATTTGTGACTAAACTTGTAGGGCGGAGCCACGTACACAAGCTACGCTTCAGGTAAGCCTTGCATGTGAGTGGTTGGTAACATATTAGCTATCCTTGGAAATTTTCCTGTTTCATCACAACCTTTGGGGATTATCTTCTTCTGATTCGTTCTCCATTTTGGACATTTTATATTACCATTATTTATGTATTTCAGATTTATTAAGCGCTGCACTTTATGCACAGTAATTTTGAATTGCCTACTATCAGGTTATTGGTGTTCAGCTGCTACACTTCTTTGCACTTTACGCGGATTTTCATTTAAGTTTTTTTTGGACTACAAATTTATCTGCTTTTGTTCATCGATTGATGATTATTTTGTATTTCTTCCATGTGCAAATAATCGCTCCAACAGTTGTCTCCTTCTCACCAAGCTTCTTGCTGATGGTCTTGTAGCCCATTCCAGCCTTGTGCAGGTCTACAATCTTATCCCTGATGTCCTTTGACAGCTCTTTGGTGTTGCCCATGGGGGCAAGGTTTGACTGGAAGAAAAATTCTGTGGACAGGTGTCTTATACACATAAGGAGTTGTCATTAGGAGCACCTTCTTAAATTGAGAGGACTAATCTGTGTACCACATGAGCACATAGCCAGTCTGTGGGAGCCAGAATTATTGTTGGTTGGTAGGGGGGATCAAATACTTATTTTACTCACTGAACTGCAACTCAATGTATAACATTTTGTATCATGTGGGTTTTTTTTTTCTGGATTTTTGGTTGATATTCTGTCTCTATTATTTAAAATACACCTATGATAAAAATTTTAGATCCTTCATTTCTTTGTAAGTGGACAAACTTACAAAATCTGCAGGGGATCAAATAATTTTCCCCACTGTATATGAAGCTAGTAGAGATCACTTCTCTTGACATCTTACAGATCAGTGCCCTCACTACCACTACAGGCTGCTGGGGTCCATGGGCTGCATGACAAATACCAAAGGGCAGCATATGGCTTTGTATTAGGATATATGTAGGGATTTTCAAACTGGCTTCTTGAGTCCGTAGATAAATCTAATGACTCTTTTTGACTGCTTAAAGACTAAGTTCAGGAATTGGAAAAAAAATCTACCCTGAACAATATATGTATAAATCGCAGCATAAACTGATGGCGCTATATAGGTACCTGAAATGAAATAAATAAAAATAAATCCCCTCACAGTGGGCCCCACCTGCAAGGATTAAATGCTTGTTTCACCTAGGGTGCACCAGAATAAGGAGGAATACTTAACTTTGGGCTCGTTCACACTTGACTGTTTTTCCAACTCTTGCCAAGTGCCCCTATAGCGTTTGACAAGCGTTGGTCTGGCGTTTGCGGAGCGTTTTTAACGCTCCGCAAACGCGGTTTAGCGGTGTTTGCCAAGCATTAAAAACGCCTCACAAACGCCTTTAATGAAGTTTGAATGGTGTTAACGCTCCACAAACGTCCTGCAAGTGCACCGCAAACGCCGGGCGTTTGCGGAATGGCACCATAGACTTGAATAGGAGGCTTCAACCAGAGGCGTCTGTTTTGCCACGACGCTAACGCTCCTGTTTGAACAGCACCATGTGCTACAATGTGCAGAATTTTCCAGGTGTTTGGGAAACGGTAAAAACGCTTCCCAGATGCCTGTCTGCCGCTTGCTAACAAGACTAGTGTGAACGTAGCCTTATTCCATCCATCTGGTCCCCCGCAGCTTCCTCTCTATGCAGCTCAAGACCGCAGTCTCACACTTGCCCTCACCACCTATATTACAGGGTTAATAGCCCTACATTGTAGTGCTGCTGCAAGGGTAGATTTTTTTTTTTTTGTGTGTGTGGGATAAGATCAGCCACTAGTGCATTGTCTTCAGTGACTCATCTGACTCATAAAGTTGCATTTTGAGAGCGGTGAAGCACTGCAGAGCAGGAAGGAGAGGCTATGTCATGAATGAACAAATGTGTCTGTCCCCGTGTATGAAAGTAAAATTAATACACAGATAAATATGTACCTGTCCCACTTCCAGTGCAGCTGATATTTGCTTTGCACACAGGATAGAGAACAATGCTAACTGAGAACTTCCTGTGCTTTCTGCCTCAGAGCTGTAATTGGTTCACCAAGATTTCTTGCTGGTTGAACATCTACTTGTTTTTGCAATTATCAAACCGCTATAATAAAAGAGAGCAAGTAAGAGAAATGTAATGTTCAAGTTTACATGCACTTTAACTCGTACCTTGTTTTTTGTACATTCTAAAATATTTCTTTTAGAATAACCCTATCAAAGTTCTAAATTTTGGCCAGTAATGATGGATTTAAAAGTATTAGCACACATTTCCTCATATATCTTGATTTGAGTAACCTCTACATCTGTGCTAATAGTTGCTGTAATAAGATTTGATAGAACTGTAACTATCCTGAAAAAAATCAATACATATTTATTTAATCAGTAAGATAAAAAAAATACCTATTAATTTTTCCAGAAAACAAAATAGTTTGAATGGTGTGGTGCAGATTTCTAGCAGTAAACTGGTAACCGAAAGCTCAAAAAAATTGTACCCAAGGTTCCCTGCAAGAGAAACTTTTTTTTTTTTTTTTTTACTTGGCTCTCTGGTCGTCTGTATCCCCTTTCGTCCTCCACTCCAGTGTTGCCATCTCCATCAGTCTTTTCAGCATTCGATAATACTAGTGCTATGTCTGTTTAACTCCTTCCCGTCCACAGTCTGTATATAAATGTTCCTTTGCATAATATGTGCTAAGGATTAGTAAATTAACGTAATCCCTTTAACTACCAGCTGACGCTTTTTGCTGTTTCTATTCAATTTTTTTTTTTGTAGTTTTGATTAGAGAAGGGTTAGAACATCTGTCTGAGAGGGTATTTCCCTTATTTGGAGAGAATTCTTCTTCCTTTTGTGTCTATAGTAGCTGACATCAAGTGAAATATCCTAGATTGGACAAGGATGTTTAAAGCAGAACTCTACCGATCTTCCCCACACAAGACCGTACCCTTAAGCTCATGCATGGTGAAATTATATTTTTGCCCGGAGTTCTGCTTTAAAGAAAATTATGGTTCTGACCATTCCCTTCTCTATTCAGAATAAAAAATAAAAAAAAAGAAGAAATGTGGCTTTTGTTGGTGGGGTGCAGAGAAGTAAGAGATGCTCAGTGGGGGTTGAATGCCTGATCCTCTCTCTGTTTTATCCTTTAGGCATTGTGCCTCGGTTTAACCACTTGCCCTCCAGAGGATATACAACCCTTCCGGACCAGGCCATTTTTTGCAATATGGCAGTGCGATACTTTAACTAACAGTTGCGCAGTCATGCAACGCTGTAAATGAAATTGTCATTTTTTCCCCCCCACAAATAGAGCTTTCTTTTGGTGGTATTTGATCACCTCTGTGGTTTTTATTTTTTGCGCTATAAACAAAAAAACCCGACTTTTGGGATAATAAAACAACAATATTTTTGACTTTTTGCTATAAAACATATCCAATAGAAAAAAAAATTCTTCATAAATTTAGGACAAAATGTATTCTGCTACATGTTTATGCTGAAAAAAAAAATCCCAATACATGTAAATTAATTGGTTAACGTGAAAGTTATAGTGTTTACAAATGGCGGTATATATACTGGAATTTTATTTTTTTTTTTTATACTAGTAATGGCGGTGATCCACGACTTATAGCTGGACTGACATCCCCAGTGACACTAATACAGTGATTAGTGTTAATAAAAAGCACTGACTCTGTACAAATGACACTGGGCAGGAAGGGGTTAACATCTGGGGCAATCAAAGGGTTAACTGTGTGATGTGTGTGTTTTTACTGTGTGCACTGTGCTGTGTTTTACTAGGGAGGCATGCTGTTTGTATCTCTCTGCACAGCAGAGAGATACAAAACAGTGTGTCCATGCTGACAGGAGGGAGACCTGTGTTGATTACACACAGGTCTCTCCCCTGTCAGCTTTCCCCACCTAGTGCTGGCTGGGATCCGGTGATTGACATCTCTAGCCGCCAATAGCATCGCAGGTAGGGCTGCATGTGCGAGACCCCTACCCGGAAATGCAAATCATGTATATATAGGTGATTTTGCGCAGCCCTGCAGCAGTACATCTGCTATAGGGCGGAGGGCAAGTGGTTAATAGTCACTCTGTCTGATACAATTATGAAATAGAAAATGTTGATTAAAAATGACCAGGGTTTTATCAAATGGTGAACCAGGGCACAAAGTGTCATTTCTGTCTGCTGGCTTGTTCCTCTGCATAAGTCACTTCTGACAAGTTTTCCTGACACCAAGAGAAAAAAAGGTGACAGGAGAGACCTCCAGCACACATCCTGTGATTGGTAGCCTCAAATATGTTAATGTGTGCTGTGCAAGGGGGGGGGGTGCATCTCTTCCCTCCAATCAGCTCTCCTCACTGAGCTCTGCAGAGTGTAACTTCAGCTCCCCACCCCCCTGCTTTCTAGAAGCTCAGACAAGCTTTAAAAATTCTGCAATTTAAACCGATGTAGAGGAGAGAAGACTGTAGATAAACAGGTACAACTTATGTAGAAGAATTTGACTCCTCTGTGTATTACTTGATGCTAGTCATTTTACTGGGTAAATGTAAGGATTTAAAACCGCTAGCAAGGGTTTAAAAAAAAAAAACAAGCCCTAACTGACCTCTGTAGCTGTAGGCTTTGTCAGTTCATCTTCAGCGTTCACAACACAGGCACTAAAATCACAACTCCTCACCTTTCCTTTCTCTGGCAGCAGTAACTTGGCAGTTTGTCAGCAATCTTATGTAAACACACAGGTACTGTAAGTTGTTAGAAACCAAGGGAAATCTGACTTCAGAGTCTTTGTTGTGATCTGTGATGATGAATTACTTCACAGTATATACAGCTAGAGCAGTTATTGATGGTTTGTTTTAAAGAACTTTTACAGCTTGCTAAGGATATGTAAAACTCTAATGTTCAGTGTCTTGGGTACAGGTGCACTTTAGGGTTGGCATGTCAGTCATGGACTTTGTAGTTAAGCAATGCTGATAAATTTTGTCCTGGGCATCTAAACTTTAATGCCCTTTGGTTATAAAAGGGTTAATGATTGCCATCATCATGCAAATGTTTTTGTACCATAAATTAGGGTTATATTTTATGTGATCATGGGGTTCAACACACTTTGCAAACAAAGACCCGCTATTTGAGATTTAGCACCTCATCGTTTATCTTATCTGTTTGTAGGCATCATACCTGAAGATTATCTGAGGGAACTGCTGACCACAATGGGTGACAGATTTACAGATGAAGAAGTGGATGAGCTTTTCAGAGAGGCACCAATTGACAAGAAGGGCAACTTCAATTACATTGAGTTCACACGTATATTGAAACATGGAGCTAAAGACAAGGATGATTAAGTCTTTGTCACAGCCGCTGCAAGATGTTCTTTAGCTTCCTGCCTTCTCTGAGTCTCTCCTCCTGGTAGAACTGTGCATGCATGTAGCTCTTTAAACCTTCTCTGTGTATTTATGGATTTATTCCAGGCCTGTTTGGCATACGCACATCTGTATAAGCAAACTGGAAACAGAAGATGTAATTGTAACGTGTTACTACGAAGTGTTAAGAATTCCTGCACAGACGACCAAGATTCATTTTTGACTTAGCTGGATTTTTTGCTATTTTGTAATAAAAAAAAAAAGGAAAATAAATGACTGTCAATCAAAAAAATTCTCAATGTGGTCTGGCAGAGTGGAAACAATTCTCATAGTTGCAGTAGTTCAAGTGAAAAATATGTAAATGTCACCATACTTCTTAACTAGCAATATGCTAAAAGCGTACGTGTTTCACCTGCTAAGGATCACACTCCTACATCTGGCAGCTGCCTGCACTGCACATGGTTCTTTTCATCTCCTGGATATACATATATATGTTTTCTAAGACTGGCACACAATGAGGGAGTTACCTAGGGAGTCCCATGGGGGCCAAGAATGATGGCGTAAATTTGCCATGTGGAAATGGTCGAACAGACACTTTTATTTTCCAATCTGTTTCAATATTTCAGCATTTTTTAAAATAAAAGTGTTTTTTATCAGGCTCTGTGTTGTAGTGGTATTTTTTTTCCAAGCTATGCCATGAGCATCTTCTGCAGTGTTTCTTGCTTATTATCACTAAAACCAAATCGCTTTCTTTTAAGCTTTGGGTCTGCTCTAAATAATATTTCCAAAGTAAGTGAAAAATATCTGCTGGACAGACAACTGTCATGGGATCAGGTTTCCCCACTGAACCTCCTGTTGTGGAAACAGCAGACGGGCAGAAAAACATATTACCTTACCAGTTACCCACTCCAAAGCTGAAAATGAAAAGATTTGACTGTATATATGCTTTTAGCATTTGTAAGAGGTAAGTAACCCTCAGATCAATAACAGTAATCCCAGATACATAAATTGACACCTTTTAACATTTTGTTTGTGTACTACACTGATGACAGTGGCCTTTTGTGACCGTGAGGGGCATATATAAACATTTTGCTTGTATGTGAACATGAACTGCGCAATGGTTAGGCATTCTACAACCCCCCGCAGTACTGGGGTCCAAGGTTTGAATTTTGGGCCTAGACACTATACCCAGTTTGCATATTCTCCCTGCGCTTGCATAGGCTTCCACTGGATAATCCAGTTGTTTCCTACACCCAAAGAAATACTTGTAGGTTAACTGTCTAAGCTGGCCTGTATATGTGAGATGGAGACCTTAGATTGTAAGCTCCTTGAGGGCAGGGGCTGATGTGAATGTACAGTATGTATATTAATGGTACAGTGTAAATGCCTGCAATAAGCAAAATGTGAATACAAAAGCAGCCCAATGCAATTCAGAAATGAATTGTAAGCGGCTCAATGCAACACCAAAGCCTCCTAACATCAGTATTTTTTGGAGGGACCTGAACTAGAATGGTGTTTGCGAAACATCTCAGTGAGAAGAGGCCATTGCTGACCTCTCCTGAAAATGCAAGTTGCCTGGCTACTATCACGCTTGTCCAGTGGCTACCATACAAGTGTGCAGATAAAGATTTCTGACTTGCCTGATCTCCATACATTTTTCTGGGTCTGTGAGTCAAATATTAAATCCAAAGTGTCCGGAAACTGGCATTTTCAGCAGGAGGTCATCAATGGCAGTTTTCATATTTTCCTTGTGACAGGTTTACTTGAAGTGGACTGCTGATAAGGGAACCTGCATATGTGGGCACAGGTGTTGGCTGAACAGAGCTTGTTTCCACTCCCAACAATTCACAAACAAGGAAGCTGGGCGCACTATGATGATAGCAGCAGCAAATAAATTATTGTTCTGGACAATGTACACAGAAATACTGCTTAGATCCCTCAGCTGATGCATTTTATCCAGAAAGGGCTTAGTCGTAGAGGAAAAACCTCTTTAGGTGGAGCACATTAATTGACATGTTGATCTTAATCAATGCAGATATTAACCACTAGTTTACAGGGTACTTATACCCCCTTCCTGCCCAGGCCAATTTCCAGCTTTTAGCGCTGTCACACTTTGAATGACAATTGCGCAGTCATGCAACACTGTGCCCATATGAAATTTTTATCATTTTTTTGAGACGGCTTTCTTTTGGTGGTATTTAATCACCTGGTTTTATTTTTTCTTAGTCAAACCAAAAACCACTAAAAATTTTGAAAAAAAAAAAGTTTTTTGTTAGTTTGTGTTATAAATATTTGTAAAGAAGTGATTTTTCTCCTTCACTGGTGTGCGCTAATGAGGCTGCAGTGATGGGCACTGATGGACACTGATAGGGGGCACTGATGAGGCACTGGTAAGTGGCACTGATGGGCATTGACAGGCATCACTGATGGGCACTGAAAGGCAGCACTCATATATGGCACTGATAGGCGACACTGATGGGTGACGCTGAAAGGCAGCTCAGATGGGCACTGATATGTGGCATTGATGTGCACTGGTAGGCACTGAAATGTGGCACTGATGGGCACTGGCAGGTGACATGGATGAACACTGACAGGTGGCACTGCTGGGGCTACACTGATCATCAGGGCATACTGATCATCCGTGTAGATGTCCCCTCTGAGGAATGCCGATTACCGGCTCTCCTCTCCTCACAAGCTGTTGGCGTGACAGCTCGTGGGGAGAGAAACGCCGATAACCAGCATTTCCCTGTTTACATGTGATCAGCTGTGATTGGACACAGCTGATCACATGACCAAGCCGTCATCTTCGGCTCTTGCCGTGGATCGGTGATCCGCTGTGTCCGAGGGACACAGCTCACCGTCGATTGCCGCGCTGAGAATGGGAGGACGTCATATGAACGAGAGAACCGCCTTGCGTCCGTCGTTTTACTATATGGCGGGCAGGAGGCGGTTAAGTAAAGGTACATGTACATCCAAAATCATACTCATATAAACATGAATATGTCTGCTGCAAAAACACCTAATAAATTATTATTATTATTATTATACAGTATTTATAAAGCGCCAATAGTTCGCTCAGCACTGTACATTACAAAGGGGGACAGAACAATACCAATACAATGTGATACACGAGGGGTTCGAGGGCCCTGCTCTTTCAAGCTATATTTAGCATATATACACACACCGGCCACTTTATTAGGTACACCTTGCTAGTACCGGAATACAACTGCCACTCAATGGATATTTTCTCTTTTTCAGACCATTTTCTGTAAACTGTAGAGATGGTTGTGCTTTAAAATCCCAGTAGATCAGCATTTTTTTTTAAAATACTCAGACCAACCAGTCTGGCACCAACAACCATGCCACGTTCAAAGTCACTTAAATCCCTTTTTCCCCACTCTTATTTTTGGTTTGAACTTCAGCAAGTTGTCTTCGCCACATCTAAATGCCAAAATGCATTGAGCTGCTGCCATGTGATTGGCTGATTAGCAATTTGTGGTACCAAGCAATTTGAAAAGGTGTACCTAATAAAGTGGCCGGTGAGTGTATAATGCTTAACAAATGCAAATTATTAGTAGTAAAATGCCCTCCTAGGAAAGACCTTTGTTTAAATGAATAAATGCATAATTAAAGTGTAACTTCACCCAAAAGGGAAAGTTTCCCTCTTCCTCCTTCCCCCTCCTTTTTTTGGGGGGGTTTGTACCTAGTTTTGGCAGGTCCCCACTTCTGCTTTATTCACCTAGAAGGCTCTAATATTATACAGGATTTATATACAGTTTGCGCAGCGCTTTACAAAATGAATGTAGACTTTACAATTACAATACAATTTGGTGCAAGAGGAATCAGAGACCCTGCTAGTTAGAGCTTACAATCTAAGAGCAAATACATATGCACTTTCTCCAAGCTCAGTCTTCATCTTTTTGGCTGCAGCCACAGCTGAGATTTGCCATGACCATGCCTTAAAAAAAAAAAAAAAAATGCTCCCGGCTGTATGACCCTTCCTTTCCTTAGCTGCAGCTACAGTACAACCACCATCTCTGGAAAAACCAGATCTTTGAAGTAATTGAGTGTTCTAAGGCCACAATGAAGACTGAAAAAGTTAAACTAACCATATATGGATCAAAGTTCAGCAAGGGCCAGCAAAATTTATTACATGTACTTATATAACGCCGTCAGTTTACGCAGCGCTTTACATATATATTGTACATTCACATCAGTCCCTAACTCTGAAGGGGCGTACAATCAATAGTCCCTAACTTACATTCATACAAATACTAGGGATAATTAACCTTCCAGCATGTCTTTGGAGTATGGGAGGAAACCAGAGTACCTGGAGGAAACCCACGCAGGCACAGGGAAAACCTGCAAACTCCAGGCAGGTGGTGCCATGGTTGGGATTTGAACCAGTGACCGTAGTACTGCCACTGCTGCCATGTATGGGCACCCTAGTTGCACACAAGCCTCTTTGGTTTTTCCCAAGCGATTAGTGCCACCGGCTATAGCCAGCAACATTAATCATTGTGCTCTGCTGGAAGGGAAGGCTCCCCGCCGGCAGAACGCAATAACACTGAGGGAGAGATTCCCCATCAAAACAGTGTTGATGGGAAATCCCTCCCTCAGAGCTATTACGTTCTGCCAGAGGGGAGCCTTCCCTGCTATTAGAACACAATGATTAATTGAGCAATTTTCTTTTCTTCCACCATGGAATCTATGGCCTGGTTTACCACTTGTTGGCAGACGGCTCACTTGCAATACACGGAAATCATTCTGATTCTTGTAACTGTAGACAAGCAGTTAAAACTCTGTTTCAGAGACTGTCCCCATGTATCTCTAACCTTAGCATCCCTACATATGTCTATTGCATTATAGTAAATCTAGTGTTCTGCCTTGATTTAGAATTACTGACATGCATGATATAAAGATTGCATAATCCTAACATATGTAAATAATTTTGAAAAGAAAGATCTTGTGCTTTGATATTG